AAGTGCAATTTAAATTGTTGCAATTATTACACTTAACATATTTAAACAAATTAAATTAACAAATAAACAGACATTAAATTCAGTTTATTTGAAAAGTGATACATTTACATTTCTATTTATTATTATTAAATTAATAAGTGATTTTTTCCATTTTATTTTTAAAGCGACACTCCGTTCTCCGTGAGTCTGTGGGTCAGCGTACCCCTTACACCAGAGTTCCTCAAATCTTACCCTGGAGGTCCAATGCGCTGCAGAGTTTAGCTCCAACCCTGATCAAACTCAGCTACCTGTGATTTTCTAATGATCCTGAAGACATTGATTAGCATGCTCAGGTGTGTTTGATTAGGGTTAGAGCTAAACTCTGCAGGAAACTAGATCTCGTGGGCCAGATTTGAGGATCCCTGCCTTACACTATCACTGTAAGCAGATTTCAACAACTGCAAACTGTGACTATTTACATTTTTATTTATTATTTAAGTGATTTTTTTCCATTTTATTTTTAAAGCGACACTCCGTTCTCCGTGAGTCTGTGGGTCAGCGTACCCCTTACACCAGAGTTCCTCAAATCTTACACTGGAGGTCCAATGCGCTGCAGAGTTTAGCTCCAACCCTGATCAAACTCAGCTACCTGTGATTTTCTAATGATCCTGAAGACATTGATTAGCTTGCTCAGGTGTGTTTGATTAGGGTTAGAGCTAAACTCTGCAGGAAACTAGATCTCGTGGGCCAGATTTGAGGATCCCTGCCTTACACTATCACTGTAAGCAGATTTCAACAACTGCAAACTGTGACTGACAGAATGCCAAATTTTTAAGATTGTACACCAAATGTGTGTCATTCAGAAAGTTTGTCTTACCCGTCTCTCACGAACCATGGCATCCAGCTTTTTGGAGACCTCGAGTGTACGAGCAAACAGCAGCACACCTGAGGTGAGGCGGTCCAGCCTATGTACTGTGTGGAGGCCACTAAGGCCTTTCTCCTTTCCCAGAATGAAAATGACAGTATTGTGACGGTAGCGGCCACAGGGATGCACAGGAAGTGAGGCGGGTTTATCCACCACCACCACTTCACCATCATCCACCAGAACCTCCAAGGGCCTCCCACTCACAGGGGGCTCATGACGATGCACTGTGTTCCTCATAAAGTCATTGTTCTAGACGAGCAAAAGACAAGTAAACAAACCAGCACACATAAACTGACAGTCAATGAGTGTTGTCACGTGATGTCTTACCTTTAGTATTAGATTCAGGTCATCCACTGGCGTTTCATTCAATTTAATACGCCCTTCTTTGACAGCCTTGTTGTAGTAATCCAGAGACTCCGCACGGAATTCACTCTTAAAAACCTCTAGTAGTGTTTTACCAATCCAGCGTCCCTTACAGTAAGTTGTAAAATCAAAATAATAAGGATACACTTTGCGAAGACCGCCTTCAAAATAGTAGGAGGTTTCCGCAAAATGTTCTTGACTGAAACTCACACCCGGGTTGCGTTTCTGTGGAGGAGGCACGTACCGCTCTCCGGGACGCAGCTGTTTCCCGCACTTCTTCTGCTTCTTGCGGTTGCCTTGTTTCGCTGCCTCATCCGTCTCCTCGTTTTTACGTTTACCGCGGTTTGTTCTAACAGTGCTGTCCGTATCACAGCTGTCTTCTTCAGCTGTGGCATCTTTAGTCTCCATGGCGTGCGCTGCAGTGTAGGACTGTTGTTGTGAGAAGTTCAAGGTTATGAAGGACGCTTGCGCTGTCCCTAGCGTTCCCAGAGTTTTAACACTCACGTTTGTGTCTCGATACAAGTGTCTCAGAAAATGATTGTTTTCTCTTTTTCCAACGCAAAGTAACGAATTTAAACCTGCTACCTTCCCCTTCACACACGTGAACCATGCCATCCAGCGGCTCAGTGACAGAATAGCTTCCGTCTTGGGTTCTTCTTCTTCTTCCGTTTTTTGGCGTGTTACATCCTGTGGTGCATATCGCCACCTACTTTTGCTGTTATGCAGTCATGGTTTATTTATCAATTTATTCCTTGTTTGTGCTTTTCCTGTTCTTACACACGTATATACACAAATATTCCAACTTAAATAATTATTCGATGCTCCATCCCATTCCTTCTCCCCAGGCTCCACCTGGCGCTGCGTGTTCAGCTCCTCCAGACTAAATCCGTGGTCTCCTAAAGATCCAGAATAGAATAGAGCATCCACATTCTATATTTAAATCCTTTCACTTGACCCAGTAGTATATATGTATTTTTATTAATATCCTGTATCCTTCTCTATCTCTGTTAAACTCATATCCTAATAAGTATTCCAAATCCTTATTTACCTTACCTTTTTTGTTTAAATATGATATTAATTCCTTTCTTTCTTCATCATACCTTGTACAATTATATATTACATGCTCCACTGTTTCTTTCTCCCCACAATTCCCACATAGACCAGTCTCATGTACTCCAGTTATGAACAGTGAAGCGTTCAATCTCGAGTGTCCAAGTCTCATCCTAGTTATAATAACCTCTTTTTTTCTATTTCTACCACTTACACTTCTTTTAGTATTAACCATTTTTTTAATATTATATAAATGCCTTCCCTTATTACCTGTATTCCATATACCCTGCCATTCTTTAATAATATTTTCCTTAATGATAGTTTTAATTTCACATTTACTTAAAGGAACATTACAATCTATTACTTCTCTTTTTAAAGCATTTTTTGCTAATTCATCAGCAGATTCATTACCAGCTATTCCCACATGTGCTGGCACCCAGCAGAATCCAACTACCACTCCTTTCTTTGTATACGCCATAATAATGTAAATATTTCACACATCAAATCTTCTCTAGAAGATTGCCGAGTAATCAATGATGTTAAAACAGAAGCAGAGTCAGAGCATACCACTACTCTGTCTGGTCTTACTTCCTCTACCCATGTTAGTCCTATTATGATAGCAACCATTTCAACAGTATATATTGACAATTTAGAGGTTATTTTCTTAGTTAGGGATATTTTAAAATCTGGAATATATATTCCTACTCCTGTAAGCCCTGTTTTGGGGTCTTTAGATCCATCAGTATAAATGTGCATACTTGCATAAAATCTTTCCTGTAAATATTATTTACATTATATTTAATACTACCCATTTCCTCCTATTCTCTTTCTTATCCAATATCTCTAGATCAATTTTAACATCTGTCTTGGGTTGATGACATCATATAACGTCATGTGTTTATGAATTATTTGCAAGTGGTACTCACTGCAGAGTCAAATGACTTCTAGCTCCACCTCTCTGTATGTCTAATGGGGTGGAGGGATAGAGTTGTGGGTAGGGTTAGGGTGTGGTTGGATATTCTAGCTCCACCTATTAGGCACAATTACATTCGCTCATTTGCTCTGCAGTGAGCAGCCTCTCATTATTTGTGGTGTAAAGTTTTGTATCTACTTTTATTCTACACACGTTCGTCGGCCTAATTAAGTATATTACAGAAGTATTTGTATCATTTTTTGTTTCTTCTCTTTTTTGTATGTTTTCTTTCCATTTTTTCTAACTTGATACATTTTTGAGTTATTTTCATGTGCACCTTTGCTGAACATTGAACACAAGTAAATCAATAATAGCTATTGTTGAACTCATTTAATCTTTAGACAAGTAAATTGATGTTTTAACTTTTTTCCACAAAAAGGTCATATTTTTTCCTAATGACACTAGTGGCCATTAATCTCATACCTCTTCACAAGATATATGTCCATTTATTTTAATTTTTTTCTACTTCTTTTAATGCATTTCTATGTATTTATATATATTTCTTGGCAAGGATAAAAAATTTATAGTTTAAGGTAGTTCATAAATCCGACATCATAGTATACTGAGTTTTATTAATTTGATAAAAAAAACACCACAAGGCCTTATATTATGTTTACATTTAATTGTGTACACAATTAACATATGATTCTACATTTAATGTGTAGATTATGATTAAAATCAAACTTAAATTACACAGTTGATTAGACAACAGCAACACTTCAACTCAAATTCTGACTCCATGCACAGACTACAAACAAGAGAATACATTTTTTAACTCATTTTTTTATTTCATTAGCTAAAAGTACTTTTGTTTCCCATTTATTTAAGCCTTGGCGTATAACTTAGTACTAGTGAGACATCGAAATGATTCATAGCACGGTAGCAGTTACATTTCCACGCATAACTGTACTCTATTTCGATTGCTTCTTGCTATATAGTATGTTAAAACGGAACACATGGCCACTTATGAAGCTACTGAGATCACAAGCCTTACATATGGAAGTTCTTGCTCCCTCCGTTTAAGTATGTGAAGAGACACCTCCTCAGAAATTACAGCATTTGTTTCAGTCCTCTAGAAGTCGCTGCATTTGAACTTCAGTTTTAAGTCAAGAATCTGAATGATCGAGAGAGAGTGTGTTGCTAGGCAGCAGGTGGAGATGGGATGGGAGGCGTTCCCTCAGCCCTAAGGGCTTTCTGAACCACAGCACCAGCGCCATCTCCTGCAGGGGCAACCATACTGCAATCAGAGCTCATCACTGGGAAGAGAAACAAATCAACAGCCACACAGTTGTGATAAGCTCAAGTGCAATAGAAATCACTCTATTCTGCTTTATCTCATAAGGACTGGATGCATACCCTGGCCACTGGCGGTGTTTGTCTGTCAGTGGGACGTAAACCACACCCATCAGCGTTTTTCTGAGGAAAGTACCATCGCTCTGACGGTCATACTGCTCCAGAACTTGGCTTTCACCCTCTGGGCCCACAGGCAAAACAAGTCTCCCACCTGGGTTATTATCAGTGTTGATAATAACTCATTCATGTTGTGATACATTTTTTTCAGGATTCTTTGATGAAAGGAAAGCAGCATTTCTAAAAAAAAATCTTACCCAAAGCTTTTGAACAGTAAAATATACATATCATTTCTATTTACAGTTCATTTACACTGTCTTCTATTTACATATCACTTTTTTCAAACAGGTGTCAGTTTGTTGTCATCATACCATGGCAGACATGGACTATCTCCATAACGAATCGTGGACAAACATGACTTTAGATGCATCTGCCTCATCTTTCAGTGGACTGCAGCTCCTGATGGACCTGAAGCCACTCTTCATCCCTCTGTATGCCATGCTCGTCCTGGTAGCGTGCTCTGGAAATCTCCTCCTCCTCATCCTCATCGGACTGAACAAGAAACTTCACAGCACTACAAACTTCCTCATTGGAAACCTGGCCCTGGTTGACCTGGTTATGTGCCTGTTCTGCGTTCCCCTGACTGCGTTTTACGCCTTTGATGAGCGCGGTTGGGTTTTTGGCCAGTTCATGTGTCATTTTGTTACCCTGATGCAGACCGCGACTGTATTTGCGGCAGTTCTTTCATTAACCGCCATTGCAGTGGACCGATACGTGGTGGTCGCATACCCGATTCGCCGTCGCGGAGGTCGATCCTTCTGCGCGTGGTTGGTGGTCAGCATATGGCTCTGTGCGTTAGCAATGTCCACCCCAACCGCTCTGCACACGGTCTACCTGGATCTGAGCGCAACAGGACATGAAATGGTGGTTTGTGAGGAGTTCTGGCAGGGGCAGGAGCTCAATCGTCTAATATATTCATGTTTCTTCTTGCTCCTTTCTTATTTTGTTCCTCTAGCAGCAGTTTCCATATCCTACTGTGCAATCTCCTGCCACCTGCAACACCGAGCTACGCCTCGGCTCATGGCTGCTACACCTTCCAACCAGGAAAAGTGGGGGCGCAAGAGGCGCAAGACATTTCGACTCCTACTGGTGTCTGTTCTGTCATTCGCATTCTCCTGGCTTCCCTTGCAGGTGGTCAACCTCATACGCGACCTGGACACCGACTTCGCCATCTTGAGCAAGAATCACGTCAATGTGATCCAGGTGTCCTGCCACTTGTTAGCCATGAGCTCGGCTTGTTACAACCCCTTCATTTATGCTTCTCTGCACAACAAGTTTCTGTCATATTTATGCCAGAACATATTTCGAAGAAAACCTCATCGTACTCAGAGCAGCCTCACAACCTCCAGCCGAATACTTCGCTTGAATACTTCTAGTACTCTAACTGACATTCCCATGGCTATTAGCAAGATTTCACAAGACTGAATCTTCTCTCCAACACACAAATGTTGCTTCTTTAGGTTCTAGAACTGTACAGATAAATACTGTACCATGATCAAAACTGATTCATTAAACCAATGGCTCTGTTGTTAAAGGGATAGTTCACCCAAAAATGAAAATTCTGTCATTAATTACTAACCCTCATGTTGTTCCAAACCCGTAAGACTTTTGTTCATCTTCAAAACACATTAAGATATTTTTGATGAAATCGGAGAGCTCTCTGACCCTCCGTAGACAGCAATGCAACTGAAATGTTCCCTATGTCCAGAAATGGAGCAAAGACATCGATAAAATAGTCCATGTGACATCAGTTACCGTCGTCCGCCATTTTGGAGAGTACCCCAGAACGTAATCAACGTAATCAGAGTTGTTTACGTTCAGCATGCGCGCTCTGTCTACTGAACGTAAACAATGCTGATTACATTGATTACATTCTGGGGTACTCTCCAAAATGGCGGAAGACGGTAACTCGGGAAGAAGAACTGTTGAATAAATTATGTTTTTATTGTTTTCTTTGCGCACAAAAAGTATTCTCATAGCTTCGTAAAATTACGGTTGAACCACTGATGTCACATGGACTATTTTAATGATGTCCTTGCTACGTTTCTGGTCGGAGGGTCAGAGAGCTCTCAGATTTCATCAAAAATATCTTAATTTGTGTTCTGAAGATGAACAAAAGTCTTAAATTTTTGGGTGAACTAACCCTTTAAAGCTGTATGTACTTCATTGATTCCTGAGGAAAATGTTAAACATTTGTATCAAGTATTTCTGGTCAAATTGTTCAGATGTTATTAGCAGAAAGGTACATTTTTCATATGTCTTGACCAGTAGGTGGTACTGTGTCAAAACTACTCATGTACCCTCCTCAGGTCATGCTTGTGTTGATATGTACCAAGTTTCGTCTGAATACGTCCATTTTGGCATGCACTTTGTGAAATTGGTTTGTGCGTTATTCGAGAAAGGTTCCCAAGGTTTTGTCGGCATGGTTTGATGTTGATAATTGATTTCTGTGAAAATAAAGCATGTTTGAAAATGTTTAAAAATTATTTTCAGTCACACTTTATTTTAAGGTCCAATTCTCACTACTATTAACTATGGATTTTGCCTCAATAAACTCCTAATTTGCTGCTTATTAATAGTTTGTAAAGTAGTTGTCAAGTTTAGGTATGGGGTTTTAAGGGATCTAAAAATATGGTCAAGCAGAATAAGGCATTAAAATGTTCTTTATAAGTACTAAAGTAATATGCATGCTAATTAACATCTAGTTAATAGTGAGAATTGGTACTTAAAATAAAGGGCTACTTTCTTTTCGTACTGTTTGTCAAAATGATGTTACATGTAAAATGATCGTGCAAGGATTTATAGCTCTGAATACACACAGGTGGTATAAATGAAAAAAGAAAAAGCTATTGTTCACTCATTGTGTTAATGCATTCATTTAGAAGCATTGCAAGGTAATGTATTATTAATTATGTATGTCCATCTGCTTGATGTTAAGTACTGCACTCAAGTGTCCATTAGAGGTTTACTTAAAACAAAAAAAACAATACAATGTAATACATCACATAATAAATTCATCACAATAAAGGTATAGCAAGCACAGCATGAATTCTGAGTATATTCTTTGAGAATACTCTGTTTAAACATTAAATATACAACACTGGTTACATTTTTCAATGAGGCTCCTTTTGTTAACATTTATTTTTTATATTCGTTCACATGAACTAACATGATAATACTCCTAAAGCATTTATTAATCTTAGTTAATGATCATTTCAACATTTATTAATACATTATTAAAATCAAAAGTTGTATCTGCTAATATTATTTAATGGACCTGAACTATCACGAACTAACAATGAACAATGTATAAACAGTAACAAAGAATATTAAATGTATTGTTCATTGTTAATTCATGTTAGTTAATGCATTAATTAACGTCAACTAATGGAACGTTTTTGTAAAGTCTTGCCAAAATATTTTTGTTGTCGGGGTAACACTTTACAATAAGGTGCCATTTGTTAACATTATAATGTATTAATGAACATGAACTAACAATGAACAATGCATTTATTACAATATGTATTAATCTTTGTTAATGTTAGTTAATAAAAATACAGTTGTTCATGGTTTGTTCATGTTAGTTCACACTGCATTAACTAATGTTAACAAACACATTTTTGATTTTAATGCTTTATTAAATGCTGAAATGAACATTAACTAATATGAATAAATGCTGTAGAAGTATTGTTCATTCTTAGTTCATGTTAACTAAAGTAGTAAACTAATGTTAACTAATGAACCTTATTGTAAAGTGTTACCGTCGTCGGTCTGTGTATTAGTAGTGAGGGATTTTTCATTGCAGGTTTTATGAATTGATTGTGACACGTGACTTTATGAGTCACTGGCTCGTCCATTGAACAGTTTGATTTTTACAGATCATTTATAAAACTATTTCATTTAAATACACTGATGCTGCATTTAAAAAGCTAAACACCACTGTGTTGCTTGGAAGGCTCTGTGGTGTATTTCTTTGGAACTACTTGCTTTGGCAAAGAAAAAAAAATTACAATATACTTGTCAATATTGCCTAAAATGTAGGCTTACTCAAAATTACATTTTTGTTTATTGAACTGTAGTATAAAATGGCTACATAAAACTGGCAATTGTACTTTTTCCCAGAATATCATTAAGCTTGCTTGTGTGATATTGCATTAAATATATTTAAAAAATATTTATATAGATTTTTAAAATAGAAAACGTCTTCATATAATTCATTGAAATTAAGTACATACAAGCAATACATTTTGTATGCATATGGATGGTCCTATGCTTTGGTTCAGCAGATGGTAAATGAGCCAAATGCCAATTACCCAATAAACATCCTGCATTTAAAATGATCATGGTGCAAAAATTTAAAAGCACAAATAATATACCACACTCAAATACACCATACACAAATACCAAAATCATGACCTCACATAAACCATATATCCATTTAGATTACAGTCATTTCTAATTAATACAATTAAACTGGTTAAACTTTAAACAAAATCTAGTGAATACATTTAATACTGTAATTCACCTTAGATTTATTAAGCATGGAATTGCATAAGGAGTCTAGTGAATATGAGTGTGGTTTGTGCTTTGTACACCGCACAGTATTTAGACATTATTGCTCACCATCTTCAAAGGAAGAGCACAAAACACTGTCAGGCTGCATAAAAGGTCATGGACTCTCTATTACTGTATTATGAAAGTGCTTTCATCTGCTGCACCTTCTGTTCATTTTTTTCTTTTCTTTTTGTTTTATTCACTTGGCTGCTTTCATATTGTTATGCATCAGAAAACAGATGAAGCATAAGTGTTAGACCACTGATGGTTTTTCTAAAGTCTGAAGACCTTTTAGAGCTTTATTTTTAGTTTTCCTTTCAGCAGTCTATTTAACTCTGCCCTCAGACTTACATTTATTAATTCTGCACTAAAATCAGCAGTATGTTGAAAGTAATGTGCATAGTTTCATTTGTGTTTACAGTATTGAATTATAAATCTGAAGTTTTATTGTAACAACCCTTTATTTTCTAGTGGATTCTCTGTCAGATAAAGAAAAGTGGATTTGAACAATCTTGGTCCGTGTAACGCTTCACAATTACATTTTCAGACCATATGGTGCAAATGCAAAAATGCAAAAATGAAACCAAACATTCATTTTTTCTAGTTACTTCATAAATTAATAATTGCCATTTTCTCTCCTTTTTTCAGTTTACTAAATTGTGACTGAAGAAATTATAATTTTAATAAAAATTAAAAAAATGTTCTATTTTTCTATCTTTCAATTTGCGCTGTGGGCTGTACCATTAGCACGGAAATACATTCCTATTAGCGGGAATACATCAATTTCGCCGTATTGGCTTTCACCGTGGATGAAGCGGAGTCCAGCCCGGGGTCATCACATGTGGTTGCCGCAAGCCCGTCGGCCTCTGCTCACTCAAGCCCGCCGTGTGTGACGCTGTGTTTCGTTGTGAAAGCGAAACTACTTTGTTTGGTCTTCCAAAAGAGGACACGACTAGAAATCAGTGTTTAAGTTGTATTTACAACACTGTTCCAGAACACTTCAACCCAAATATTCAGATGTGTGCAGCGCATTTTATGGAGGACTGTTTCCTGATCCTGGGAGAGTAGACTACAATGCCGGCTGTTCTGACTCACAGACTGTAAGTACGTTTTTTTATATTTAAAGGATTTGCAACTGATGATTCAAACGTGAGTTTTGGGCAGTGTAGAGTAGCGCTTGTTGTTTGTCATTTCTCCAATCACAAATGCAGACATGGTTTTATGTTTACGCGGCGCGATGCAATGCAACGCATAAAAAGACAGTATAA